GTAAAAATTAAAGGCTTTTAGGAGAGAGGGCGCTGATGTGGCGGATTCTGATTAGATTATGCATGGTTATTGACCATAGAGTTAAGCACATGATTCGTTTCCCGCCTAGATGGATTGCCATAATGCCACCTTCCTAGTTTCTCCCCTATAAACTATGCGAATTTCTGAACTCTAGACGGTTTGAATACCAGGAAACTTATTGGTGAAGGGCCTTTCGTTCTTATAACACTGGCCGTAGGGGTAGGCAACAGGACGGGATTGGGTACTCGTCCCGTTTGAAACGGGTACCCAATCCCATTTGAAGAAAAAACTTAATCTCATGTCCCAAACCTGTACGAGTTAACGGATACCCATTACCCGCATGGAACAAATAACGAAACCGTGTGATTTTCGTTATTTGGGCTTTTATTGACGGCAATACTAGCGTGGACTTTTCACTTCCAAGGAGGACATCTTTGGTTTTCTTGTTGTGAAAGGAAGTGCAGATTCTGATGAACAATGATCATAATAAGCTAACACAACTTGTTAACAGGTTTACTTGCTAACAATAATTGGTCACACCCAATAATAATGAGCACTATTCTTTGATCACTTCTACTATGCTATATAGCATTGGTGCTTTAATGTACAACTCAAAGTTGTCCCATAACTAGGGCTGTCCATATGGTTTTGGGTTTTTGGTTTTAACCAAAACCAAACCAATTGGAAAGCTAATGGTTTCAGTTTTTTAGCTTTAAACCAATAAGCAACTTAATGGTTTTGGTTTGGTTAAAACTGAAAAACCAATAGAAACCATTAAGAAACCAATAAGAACAAAATTATTTAGGGTTAATATTTTCGTATAGCCTGAACTTTGACCAAAATAAACATTCTGGCCAATCTTTTCGATCTATAACATCCTGGCCCGAACTATACACCAAAATAAACAATTTGGCCAGATCCGACTTTTGACCGTTAACTTGGACGGTCAAACGTGTTGACCATTAGTCAACGCGCCATGTCACTGCCAAGTCAGCATAAAATATTTAAAATAATTCACAATTTTCACACATTCCCTAATTTTAAATTATTATAAATTTAAAAAATCATTTAATACCTTAATTAAACCAAAAATAAAAAACAAAAAAAATAAAATATTTATTAGATCTTCTGACTTGGCAGTGACGTGGCGCGTTGACTAACTGTCAACGCGTTTGACCGTCTAAGTTAACGGTCAAACATCGGGTTTGGCCAAATTGTTTATTTTGGTGTATAGTTCAGGCCAGGATGTTATAGATCGAAAAGATTGGCCAAGATGTTTATTTTGGTCAAAGTTCAGGCCATACAAAAATAATACCCAATTATTTATGAACAATTTTTTTTTTGACACGCATGCCAACCAATAATTTGTAATGGGCATTATCATTATTATGACGTTTATTCAATAAAAAGGAGGGAAATGAGAATAAATATGAGTGTATGAGTACATGTTGGTTTTTTGGTTATCCAAACCAAAACCAAAACCATTAAACCCTTATTGGTTTTTGGCAACCGAAAACCAATAAGGGCCTTAATGGTTTTGGTTTTGGTTTTTGGGATTTGGTTTTTGATTTTTGGTTTTTCATACTTAATGGTTTGGTTAACCAAACCAAACCAAATTGACAGCCCTAACCATAACATTAAATGTATAAGTTTAGTTTGTACCTTTATCTGAAGTTGTACCATCAGATAAAGGTACAACCTAAACTTATACATTTAATGTTATAGTGTTGGTACAACTTCAAGTTGTACCATAAAAGAATTTATGCAAAAAGTATAGGTACAATCTGAAGTTGTACCATAACGTAAATGTACAATTTTAAGTTGTACCATAAAGGCAAAAACCTATAGCACCAACACTATATAGCATTGTAAAATTTCTCCTATTCTCTTTGTTCGTTTTTGTGATTGAGAAATATCATGATCATTTGCAATGGAGTAGTGCTACTATTGACATGGCGGCAGTGGTGAAGAAGAAGACAGATCAAGTAATAGCGTTAATAAAGACGAGTAGGAAGCTGATGGTGATGATGAGTAGAGAGGCAATGGGCAGAAGAGTCCGGATTTGGTGACTAAGGGGGTCCTTAGTCACTCGACTAAGCCCCACTCAGGCTTTGGATTGATCTAATGGTCCAGATAAAATGTTGAATTATTATTAAATGAACAGGGTAGTTTTGGCATTATCAGAAATTCATTAATTCCTGACATTATCAGAAATTCATTAATTCCTAATTTCAGATTTTTTTTCTTCCTCTCCAACCGTCTCCTCCTTTCCCGTCGAGAGAGAGAGAGGCGATGTCAACGACGGTGGTGAAGGAGAGAGAAACACCCAGAGGCGGGTTTGTCAGAGAACGGTAGTGGCGGCAATGATGGATGAGAGAGAGGCGGCGACAACGATTGAAAGATAGAGAGAGAGAGAGGCAGCAATGGTCGTCGTCGTCGAGAAACAGAGGAGAGAGAGATCGTGGCGGAGAGAGAGCGTCGACAACGATGGAGGAGAGAGAGACGGCGCGACGATGGAGAGAGAGAGGTGGTAATGGCAATAGAGAGAGTCGGCGACAGCAACGGTGGAGAGAAGTCGACGGCGGCTACAACGGTGGAGAGAGAGGGAAGAACAGTGATTTGTAATGCAAGTGTTGTCGGTTTGTATTGTTAGTATTTTTGTACATATTGTCAGTGCGATTTGTATGGTTTGTATGTTTTGTAAAAATGAAAAACATGGTGCACAAAAATAACAAAGCTTACAAACATTGCAAAAGAAACCGACAAACATTACAAAAGTAATAAACCTTATAAACATTACAGAAGAAACCGACAAACATTACAAAATAACACTACTTACAAATATAAATCGGTAAAATTGTATTACAAATTCATGAATACAAACTATACAAATCATAACATAAAAGTATACAAACTAGAGCAACAGATATTATAAATAATACAAATTAGTCATGTAAACATTACAAACACAACAGACTAAAATAACAAAGTAGAATGATAAACGATACAAACCGAATTGGTATAAACAATACAAATTGAACTTATAAACATTACAATATAGGTTGACAATCATCACGAATTCAGCACTGTTGCCGGAAAATCATCCACCACCGTCTCTGGTCGCCAGAAACGTTGACAAGAAAACTCTCTCTCTCTTTGGACACAAAATCCCACGGCGGGAGAAATTCCCAGGAACGGCGGCCGCAACAATTTTTTGTTTTATTTTTGTAATTTAATTGTTAAATAAATAAATTAAGTAATTACCACCTTACCCTTCATTAAACTAGATAAATCTGAACCATTGGATTTTAATGAGCTTTAATGAGTGAGATTGGCTTAGTCACCTGATCTTAGCCCATTGGCAGAATGGAAGACATGCTCTTCTAGGAAACTTGTTTGGGAGTAGGTTTTTTTTTATATAAAAGATAATCATATATATTGATTCAGAAAATAGGTAATTACATTCTGGAGATCAACCATATATGAAAGTTAAAGAAACGACTCATTGTCGGGTACAATGCGAGGATTTTCCTAGCCACCAAGTGGGCTACCCTATTACTACGCCGACCTACAAATCGCATAGAAAAGCCAGGATGACTTGCGAACCGACACACAATTTCCTCCAAAATAGCCCCCATTCGATTATCGCGAACATCCGCCCGTAAGATTTTGTCAATGACCACTTTAGCATCCCCTTCAAATCTCCATTCCATAAAATCGTGGCCTTGACACCATAATATAGCCTCTCGGAGAACGAGCAGCTCCACCACCATAGGGTTATCAATCAATGGAAACTGAACCCCTACCACAAGGAGGACTTCCCTAGTAGGGGTTAGAATAACCATCCCGCCTGCCGAATGAGAGCCACGACTTTTAGCCTCATCCCACATACAAACATGCAAAGTAGACCCACCAGGGCCTAAGCTATGTGTCGGAGGTATAGCAGACTTGATCACAATATCCCTCGGCAAACTAACCCACTCATGGACCTGCTGGTTAAACTGGCGCATCAAGGCTGGGATCGCGAATTGTTTACCCTCAAAAACCACCCAGTTACGTGATCTTAAGATTCTCCAGAGGACAACAACAACAGCCATGAACAAAGAGGGGTGATGAACGAGCGATAACAACCGTTTTAGAAAAAGCGGGAACGTGTGATGAGGCAATCCTTGCCCTAGAGATTCTAGTCCCGCATGATCCCAAATAGCATGCGCTACCGGACAATACAAAAATAAGTGCTCCATTGTTTCGGACTCCGTCCAACAAACTGAGCACCGTGGAAGCACAGGGACTTCCTTCACAATGAGAGCTTCAGTCATAGGAAGGATTTGATTAAAATTTGCCATACAAATACTTTGAGCTTGGGAGGGATATTAGATTCTCACAAACGAATCCAACGGGCTCTATCCATCTAACTAACTGTTGACCGCCATCTACTCCGCTATTGATCCAACCGAACAGCAAAGTGATAAGCCGACTTAACAGTGAAAACACCATCTATCGTAACATGCCAAATCAATCTACTCTACCCAAGCCTTTACTGATCTTTTCTTAAATGACTAATTTGAAGCTATTCATAATGCATATGTTCTTTTCTTCAAACTAATGGCTTGGTTGGACAGTTAGTGACGGACAATCCACAAGTCGCAGGTACTTATTGTAGAACTTGTTGATCCCAAATCTCAGCCCGTAAAATAAATGACGGGTATTTGGGTACCCATAACCTAAAAAAGGACGAGTATGGTATACCCATTTTTCGTTGCTGCTCAATTAATATCATCGGGCCAAGCCCGCCCGCATCCTTCACAAAAAGTCAAAACTAATCACTGGGAAACCAGTGTCCATGAAACCGTACCGTACCGGCAGTTCAACCACGAACCAATATCGTACACTAAACCGGTAGGCGGTATTTAACGGCATAACAGTTGAACTACGGTTAAATCACAATTTTACCATAAAATACCCTACCGCTGACTTTCCCTGGAAAGTATCAGATACAGTTTCATGAATAATGTGTGAAACACAGGCAGGGAAAAGATTCAAATGCATAAAGAAACCCAAATACAAGCTATTAGTGTTATGCATACGGGACCATTGGAGCTGCGAAAATGAGAAATTGACATTCAAAAGCCTACTCCCAGACTTCGAATCAGAGCCACTACAGTTTAATTGTCCCACATTTTACCACCACCAATGTCAAATTCTATACAATATATTCACAAGACTACATACATTATAGAGAGACCGAGCGAGCGAGATATATATAAATAGACACCGTATGAATATACGAGACGACGGGCGACGAAAGGACAGCAGATTTTTACTTCCTCAGGCAGTCAGGCCGACTTCCATCAGCTTTCTTCCACTGCATTTCCTATTTACAAAAGCTCCGACGAGACCGCGCTACCTTTCATATGTGCTTCCTCAAGTTCCTCTTTGCACGAAATTGGCCGAGCTTGTCCCTCCATTCAGCTGCCACAGACAGAAGTATATTAGACCAAACCATACAAGTTTCTGCTCTCTTTCTATATTAGAAAGTGTAAGCTCGGCCCGGTCCCATGATTACTTGTTGCACCATAGTACAGGTTCTGCCATACTGCTTATCTGATGCTCTCACCATAAAAGAAAGGAACTTTTATCGAAAATCAAACTGATTTTAAGCCTAATAGTTGAGCTAGTGGTGATCTGTGGATAAAAAAACATCACCACGCTAGGTTTGAACCTTGGGGAGCCAAAATGTAAGTGCATGCCCCATTGTGCTCGAGCATAACATAGTTAAAGCCTTAAAAGCAGTTACCTGCATCATTGTAACGCTCTTCAATAGCAGCTTCTTGCATGTTGCGCACAAGAATGAACTCTTTGGTATCAAGACATGGCTGACCCGTGGGCCTGCGATCAAAAGAAAAATCCTCTTTAGCCCTTTTTCTCCGTCGGAAAGGAAAAAAAGGACTGTGTGATTGCGAGGTGGGCATGCAGCTTGTGAGTATACATAATGGTTTCACTTTTTGCAGAAATAACTGCTTGGCAAGAGAGGAAATGGATGCAACTGCAGTTTTAACGGCCCCCTTAAACTTGTAAAGACTAACCGGTCTAGTTCAGTGAATAGCAAGCCATCTGAAGTATGGGAGTGCATTGGCCTTCCAGATTCGATGACTCTCATCCCATCATTGTATGCCAGGTACTTGTTCACTTGAATTGGTACCTGCCAAAGAGCCAAACCCACAAGTAAAGTCAGCACTGGCACCCTCATCTAAGCTGAAATCTCAGGAGCAGTCTGCTTAATGCTGTTTCTTTTCATTGTGTCTCTTGGTCAGCCGTACCCTGAGACTATCTCCAAACTAACAGATAGGGTTGTAAAACTTTTAACAGACTAAATTTTCGGCTCAGCATTCTCTCACTCACAACTACGAGTACATGTTAAGTATCCATAGCAGTTCCACGTAAGTGTGTTCAAATACCTTGCATCTCACTGCGATATTGATAGCATCTGAAGGACGGAGGTCAAAACTAATAGACTCACCAGTACCAACCTGTAAAAAATGGAGGACACTAAAAGTTAATTTTTCCTAGAACCTAGCAGCTGAACAAGAATTTTAACTCCATAAGGTAGCAGAATTCAATCAGGGAATAAAACCTTCGTCAGATACAATTGGGCATAATATGCTTCATGAACTCGCCTAGTCACTCTAACGAGCTTAACCTGCGTAGAAGGAGAACATGTACCACATTAGAAATCTGATGGGGTCCCAACAGTCAACCACTGGCAACATGAGAAGTGCTAGCAAATTTACTTCGTAGCCCATCTTGTCAACCATATCCTTCACTACTTGATAAAGAGTGGGTCTTGACTGCACCAAAGAATAAGCATTTCCAGCAGTTAGCAGGCTCCAAAATGATCCTTTCACCAATAAGAAAAAGGAAACATAAAATAGCCATGAAATCAACTCATACAATTTGAACATTCCGGACTGCTGCCATGAGCAATGCACTTGGCATCTCCACTACAAAAGAACAGAGCACAATAAATACTTAACATGACAGAGAACAAGGGAGACGAGTCATAACAATGTGGTAGCATTCACATCAGTAGCAGACATACAAACAATTATTGGGAGGAGAAGGCCAGTGCCATCCTCCATCTTCAACACAATCGCAGGATGTGGAGCATAGTCCGGCAAGTGGCTGCCTTGAGGATTGTTATGTACACATCTCAAGTGTCTTCCATCCCTCATTTTAATCATGAAACCATCTGCCCCACTCTTCACCTCAACTGCAAGTAACACATTTAGAAACATTACCAAATCCGCGCACACAGCGATTAAGTTGCAAACCGATCAAAACAAAGTACACACACGTCCCGTACCAGCTTCAACTACACTAGAATTGAGATAATCTTCATCCTGCTCGTTGAAGTTCGCCATGTTGCCATTGTCACTCGAAGAAGAACTCAGAGCACATTGCACCTTGGAGAAGTTCCGCCGACTCCGGGAAACCAAACCACCCACCTTACTCTTCTCACCATGGAATCCTTTGGATCCCAATAACTCATTACCGACGAACCTGGCTCTCACCACGCAGCAATTCATCACTGGAACGGTACACATGTAGAATCCTGCCTGCTTTGCACGAACGGCAGGGCATATAACCGGTCCTTGCAGCAACGCCATTCCCTCACCTCCTCGAAAAATCCTACCAATATTTGAATGACACGAAGAAAAAAAAATCAGGATTCAAACAGAAAACAAACTAAAAGCTTCAACGGAAAAGCATCACAGAGCTTTTGACAACCAAATCCGGTTATCCGTGTAAGAATTAATTTCAAGATCAAACGCCTAATTAAGTAATTAACACAGCAACAATCACCGCCGGCCGAATCTTAATCCGTTTAGAATTTTCTCGGCGTCCAAACAAACAAAATATCCACCCTCCCTCTCTCTCTCCATCTCCCTCGCTAAAAAGAAACAATTCGAGAACTAGACATCTTCGAAAGATGAATCTAAGAGCGCAGAGATCAGATGAGCTAAAAACCTGGAAAAAGTTCCACAGACGCGGCCCGATCACGGCTACTGACTAAATCAGAGCCACCGTATACAGAATCCGCGGGAGAATCAGATTGGGAACCAGAATTTGCCGGCGAAAGTTACAGGGACAGGGAATCCGAACCGATCGATCGGCGATGGAGTGGAGAGACGCTGCGGGGAAGTGAGCAACCGACAACGGAAGGGATCGGATAAAATGTAAAGGGAGGAAATGAGAGACTGGGGATTGTAGAAGATAAGATATAAATTATTACGATGCCATTCAGAGAGAGAAACTGAGTGACAGAGATGGATAGAGAGAGAGAAAGAAAGATTCTTAATGGGAGCGCTAATAAGTAATAAGGTCTGATAAAGACGACAGCAAATTGGAGGTCGTTTTGATCGTGGAATGACGTCTATACCCCGCTGGAGCTCTTAGCTAAACCACCGCCCACGGTTTTGGTTTTACAATGGGAAGTCTTTGATTAGTGATGTGCTTAATACTCGACGGCATCGAGATTTAAGGGGAAATTGCCACCGTTGTCCTAATTAAGAAGTAATTTATGGATTGACGTGGCCACGTGTAAATGGAGAATTCTTATCCACAAGGTTTGTGATAAAGTTTATTGACATGGTTTGTCTCATCGCTATTTATTTGGAGTCAAAACTGATGTCTTTACAGCATTCTAAAATTAGATTTTACAACTTTTCATTGATTGCATGGATAAGTCACTGCGAAATGTGAATGCCGTTTTCATCGTGTTTTTATTTCGTATAGTAGTGATTAGCAATGCATCGTCTTCACATCATAACGTTGCAAAAAAGATTAAATCATTAAGAGGTGGTTTGGAATTTTTATTCCGGAAATGATTATTTTAAAGATTATGTTTATATTTAGAATATGTAGTTTTGAAAATTCATTGTTTGGAACCCATAAAAGAATGCATGAATTAGAGTTTAAATAAATTATGGATACTAAAATCTCACAAAAAAGGTAAGATTATGAATACATCATTTCCTATGTATTAGGAATACAACATGGATTATGAATACATTCATTCTATCATTACATCAAGTAAAAAAACGTTATATTCTCATAATACAACATCTGAAATTTGAGGTTCCAAACAAGCCCTAAAATAGTAAATCCTTTCCAGACATGTGACGGTACTGCTCAGAGCGAAGGGTAAAAGTGGGACTTCACAAGTGCTGAAAAAAGCAAAGAGTTGTGCTTTGCTTTCAGCGGTGCGGCGGTGGGGACAAGAAGTTAGCTCAATCGGCGTTTGTGTTCCGGTGGATGATAATAACGGCGGAGGGGAAGGGATGACGGAGAAGAATCCAATTTCCCAACAAGTGAAGTGCAGTTGATGTCAGACTGGGGAGGAATTGTGGATAACGCTCCGTTGAAATAAATATCCCCCCAAATTTCTGATTTTTCCTTCCCGAAATATCCGCGGGCTCATCCTTTCCTTTCGTGTTCCCTACTTTTCCCCAAACTAAGAGGATTGCTAAAAGCGGTTATAGGTTTTACTTAAATCATCCAGTGGACCCAATAAGGTTCGGTTAATCGATGGTTGTCAATAGTGAACTCAATTTGGTGTTCATTAATCGATAGTTGCATTCATCGAAATCGAAGAGTGACAAAAAATGACATTATAATTAATAACTTTTTATATTAACAAAACGAAAAATGTCTGACACACGAAACAACTTGATTAACAAAACAAGAATCACATAATTGTTCAGTAAGCATCAAGGTTTAGATAAGCTGGGGAGCTTCATAAATAAAAGTAATCAGTAGGAGCGGAAGGAAGTAACAAGATAAGAAGTTCAAACTCCAGCCACCACCAACCATTAACGAGGAGACAAAATTAGACTAAATGAATTCTAACTTGCTGACCCACCGATGGTTAAGCCTAAAATGATTGGCAGCCGGCGGTGGGGACCGGCCGGCGATTGATGGAGACGATCAAGTTGTCCACGGCCCACGCACTTTTTATCCATTAGTGCAGAGTTGGCAGCTTCAGAACGTCACCGTTCCATTTCACCAGCACTCCAAAGTCCAAAACAGTGCGTCTTCCGTTTCTTCTTCCTCCAGTCGGCCCTTTTGTGTTTTATTTATTTTTATTTCAAACAAATTTCCGTGACGGCAATCGGCAAACGGTGCAGAAGCAAACACAACGCCAAGATTCCCGTCCCCAAAAACTCCAGCCTGCTGGAATCTTTCATTAGAATATATCAATAATTTTACCCCGGCACGGAGAAGTCGGTTATAATATTAATAACAATAATAAGATTTTGATTTATAATTTTTTTTTTTTGACAGCGGATCATAAATATAATGGGAAAAAAACCCAATGTTGAAATTGATCAAATATGTTAGGGGAGGAGGAGAGAGATCAATTGGGCCGTTTTTCTCTTACATCAATGGATCAAATTTGGTCCGCCCCTTCTGGGTCGACCAATGTTGCTCCATCAACAACAATAAGCCCGTGTGTCAGGTTTAATTAAATGTCCCGCCGCCGAAATTAGGAGGCGGCGGCGGCCACATGGCTCCGGCGATGCTTCCACCGTCGATGCTGGCCACGTAGGACATGCAGGACAGCGGAACGAGGCATAGGCCTCGGCTTCTTAGGTCTCGGTTCGTCGGCTCTCCATTTCCAAGTATCTCTCCCTGGAAGAAGAAGAAGAAGAAGAAGAAGAAGGAAAAAAACAATGGGTGAGAACTGAAAAGAGTAGTGGCAAAACTGGTTTGGGCTTTTGTCGTAGTGGACTCGGGGTCCAGTGGATCCTTTACCGTTTGGAAATGCATGGGCCTGTTGGGCTTGCTGCGTGTCGGCTTCATGTACGGGACGCTTAAAGTCTGCAGGGATTTTAGCATTGGGCTTGGGGATTAATCAATTAAGTACAAATACATTATTCATCCCAAAAAAATAACACACTTAATTCATCCTAATTAGTAATTACCTCAACTTGGTTTTGGAGGAACTTGATGTATCCAATAGCCTCCATTAACACTGACGCTGTGTCCGTCTGCAGCATGATCAAGTTTCACCATGCCATGTAAATTAAGTGTAAAGTTAATGATTAGTTCTTGATTATTTGCAGATTAAAGTATGTAGTTCTAATGATGAATAGTAAGTAATATATCTTATTTTTACCTTGCCAAAAGGGGCAACCATCTGCTGCAAGGCCGCGATTCTATCACCCAGCTTCTCTTTCCTTACCTGCGCGCGGTAAATACATTGTCCTCTTTACACAGTGGTTTAAAGTGAAAAGGTTAAAAAAAAAAAACAGGAGTTTGGTAAAGTTGAAACCCTACCTTAAAGGGAGGGCAAGAGGCACGCGGCTGGTCCAATCTCGACTTCTTATTGGCTCCTCCACTACTTCCCTGCTGCTGCGTCGACGTGGACTTTCCCGCCGTCGCATCATTCGACGGCGACGACCCGCTGCTGCTTCTCTTCGCCTCCGTCGTTGGTGGTGGTGCACTCTTGGTTGTCGTTTCCTTGTTAAACGACGCCGTGGATGAGCTCCCAGAGGACACCTTCAACAACAATTTCAGGATTATCTATAGTTGATCATATAACCAGTTATATTATTAATCTTGATAATCACAAAACACGGAAACGGTGCGGTCTGGTCCAGACCAGACCATATATACGGTTTATGGTCCAGACCGAGAGGCTAAAGTATAGACCACAAACCAGACCATAGACTATACGGTCTGGTCCAGACCACGCCTGTGCGGTCTGGTTCGATCTGGTCTGGTCCAGATAGATCACACTCAACGAAAAATGAATAATTTGTTTAGTCTACCACACAAAAAATTGAACCAATACCAAGAGAAATAACTATTATTTGCCTTAAAACATTAATCCTAACATGCATGAATAATTTTGATACCCTAAATATTAGTACATAACAAAGATACAAAGTAAAAGCATCCCAACTTGCACCATAACGTCATAAACATTAACATAATGCCATATGAAGACACAATTATCTATACTCTCTGGTTAAATGTGGTTGTGAATGAAGGAGGGACGTGATTCACAAAACTAAGGTTGATACTTGGGTGTCGTTGTGGGAGTTAGGAGAGTGGTCGAATGAGCTGTTAACACGTATTGACAAGTTGGTTGGGTCCGGTAAACCGCGGTCTAGACCAGACCAGACCAGACTAAGAGATCAAAACATAAAATAATACAGACCGTGGACCAGACCAGACCATACTTAACGGTCGGTCCGGACCAAACTGTGCGGTACGGTTTGGACCACGGTTTTTCTAACGGTCTGGTCTATTTTCCCTGCCATAACATCTATAGAGGTGATTACAAAAATGTTGAAGTTTGGTATTTTTGTTGTCCTAATGACACATACGAATCCAGTAATCAAATCAACAAGTAACAAATACTGATCATTTTAAACATCAAAAGTTGTCTCTTAAAGTCTTCTTGGTTTTAACGACAAAACACACTATAATCAAATTGAAAGAAGGATAAAAGACAGGGAGGAAAAAATAAAGGATCTCTGAAAAAGGAGGGGGAAAAAATGGAAAGGAAAGGCAACAAGAGAGGAAAAGAGAAGAGAAAGGCTGATGATTCTCCTTCTGATAAAAGAGATCCAATTCAAAAAAAAAAAAATGGTTAAAGCTGAAATGACTCTCTACCCATTCTCAGCCAAAGAGAAATGATGCCATCTACTCCTCCTTTTTCACTTCCTATAGCAAGTAAGTAAATAATCAGAGAAACTAAATCGAATTCGAACGAGCTAATTAAACCAGGTAATCATCCTTAGTAAGAAAGTTTAAGTTTATCACCATACCTTGGTATCATTGCTAGGGCAACAATATTGGCGCATCATTAGATTCTCCTGATGATGACGATGATTATCATCAACAGAACCATAATTAGGATGATGATGATGATCAACCCTCATATCCGATCCAATCAGACTGTGATTGGAGGAGGAGGTCAAGAGATCCAGTGCTTGCATGTTCATATCCAACGGCGCCGTTTGTTGGCTGAGGCTGGACACGTTGATGCTAGGATAAATGAAGCTACTCGCCGTCGTAGTAGCACTCCCACTCCCGCCAACTCTCGCCGCCGGCAGCATAAAGTAGTCACGATTCGAACCAAAATTTGATGAATTGTTAAACGGCATCACTCCTCCTCCTCCTCCTCCGTGGTAGTTGTAGGCGGGGAAGCCGGAGATGGTCTTGAGGAGGAGCTTCTCGCTGAGATCGTTGGCGGAGGAGGAGGAGGTTTCGTCGGCGGAGCTGATTAGCATGTCGGTGAACCTAGGGAAAGGGTCCGACGACGTCGTGGAGGACGAGAGGGACGTCGACGAGCATCCTCCTTCGTCGACGACGTCCTTGATGGAGGTGAAGCAGCCGGAGTTGATGTTCCACTGGAAGCTCAAGTCGTGGTGGTGGTTGTTGTTTATCATCAGCCTGCTAGGGTTTACCGAACCTCCATCGCTGCCATTTCATCAATGCAGACATAAACAAAGTTACTACGCACACCCATTTCGTTTAATCTAAGTATCAGCGCGTTCTATTAGCGTCCCACTTAAAAAAAAAAACACAGGGAGAGATATATTCTCTCTTGAAAGATGCAAAGGAGGAGGAGAGAATATATATAAGTACACACCCATTAATTAATAACCCTATATTTTCCCTATGATATGTGGATTTATGGGTGAAAACCCTAAACTATTTTTTGTGTATGAATGACCTGAGATCAGATTCTTTTTTTTCTTCCCCTGGGATTGTGCTGAGAAGTGAATATTAATATAGTAAAAGGAATTACTACAAAGTGATAAAGCTGGAGTGGGAGGAAAAAAGGGGGAAGATTCCTAATCGTAAAGTGGAAATGAAATGAACTCACAAAGTAAAGTTCTGGGTCCAGCCTCCTCCTCCTCCGCCGGTTGTTGGAGCTGCTCCATAGTAACTCGTTGAGGCGGTGGTGGTGGCCGCGGTGGCGGCGGAGGGAGGATTAGGCGGAGAGGAGGAGGAGGAAGAAGAAGAACTGGAAGAGGCAACAACTTGAAGCTGGCGATGGTGGTGGTGATGGAGATTTGCAGGCTCCATTAGCTAGGGTTTCAGAATTTTTTTTTTGATTTCTTCCCGGGTTGCAAAGAATAGGAGCAAGTGATGGAGAAGAAACTGTAGAAATTAGCAGCCTTCATTCAGGTGACAGGCCACAGTGCTACTTACAGCCACACCCACTTCTTCCCTCTCCTTTGTCTAGAGAGAGAAGAGAGTGGGGGAGGAGGAGTTCCCCTTTTGCACTCTCCTTTACTCTTTGAAAAACATCAGTCCACAACACAGAGAAAAATGGAAGGAAAAATGAAAAAAAAAAAAACAAGTCTTGAAAAGAAAGCAACCTAAATTATAAAAAAGCTAGCAGAGAAGAGAATATATGATAGATATATAATTTAGTGGGGGGTGGGAATTAATTATTAATGTGAATTATTATATATATAGTAAAACCCTAATCCATCCATCCACCACCATCACATTCCCTCATCTTTTTCCCCCCTGTCTGTCTGACTTAAGAATGGTTATTTTATTCTTTCTCCATTCTCTTTTTGGTGGTGGCTGGGAATATATTGCTTGAGATGGCAGAAGGCATGGGGGGAGAAGGAGAAGGAGGAGGTTTGGTTGGTGAGTGTGGCTGGCTGAAATTAGAGGGGGATGATTACATTTATATATATAAGTGGTGGGTGTTTGTTGTGATGATTGTTTAAGAGATATATGTATTATACTTATAAGTAAATATATATGCCTTCAATCCCAAGGCTTGCTGAGGTTTCTTTTATGAACCCACACAGAGGGAAAAGGGAGCTCTCTACAGAACAAATAATAATGATGACAACTCTCCCACTTGATCCTTCTCTTTTTCCCTTTTATCTCATTACTATCTCTAGCTAGCTCTAGCTAATGATATGTAATATCAATCCTTGCATTATAGGCTAACACCTTCTCATGTATTTGGCAAAAGGGCAGCTCTCCTAGCTTCTTGGTGTATTTGTGGACATGTGATGTATCCAATTAGAATGAACTGATGATATTTGACATGATCTTAAGAGCAATCTCTCTTATGAGGGCAAAAGGACCATGCATTATAGAGACTATGGCTGGTAAATGGTTATATATCCTGTTAGCGGTGTAACCGGACCGAAACCGGTGGTTAACGGTTGCACCGGTTGGTAACCGATTAAACAGTAAATGGTCGGTGTTCAGTAGTCAAATTTAGCTAATTACTAACCAATTGTTAAACGGGTAATGACTAACGATAAAATGGTTAACCGATTAGCCGATTATGACCATCCTGGTGTTAGGACAAAAAATAATAGCCCTCAATGAGTTGTAGGCATAGGCTGAAAATAATGGGATGTTTGAAGACATATACAAGATCCCTTGCCTACCATTGTTGTAATTGTGACTTAAGTTAATTCAAATGAGAATAATTTTAAGGTTTCGGAAGAGCACAGTAGAAAGATGAACTTGCGCACAGTAGTTCTACAACATATCAATAATGTTTTAGCTTCCATGTAATTGGTGGGATATATGAGTTGAATAATTGTTGGGTCTCTTATTCTTGTCTGCTTGAAATTTGATGGTAGAATGGTGTTATGGTGTACTTGTTTTGGATTCTGTTGATTATGGATTAATATCTATATTAAATTTTTTTATTCAATCATAACACCTAAAAAAAAGAATACATTCGTATGTAGGGAAAAGTCTAAAAAAATGTATAATTGAAAAAACAGAGGTATTCTATTGGTAAGGTTATCGATCGATTATTTTGGTATAACCTTATCGAATTACTTGATTAACTAATCTCTGATGAAACAATAAACGACTATACAATTACAGTTAACCGATTAATATGTATGGTATGATTAACAGTAAGTATAAATTATTTAACATTTAACTGATAATTAACTAAATGATTATGATTATAACCGAACTGACTGACATGTGTACTTTCCCTTACATGCATTCTTCCTTCACCACGTAATCATTAGGAAAAAAAATCCGTGTATATTGATGGGCTGAGATCTAGGGTTGAAAATAGACCTGACAAATTATAATCCGACACGTTGACTCAACCCAAAATCGCTCAAAAAATAGAAGTTTTTACAACCCGATTAACCCGTTAGACCCGTTCCATTTCATATGTAACTCCCAAATATGATAAAATCACTCATAAATTGGAGATGTTTAAAAAAATCCACGAGGATTTGAAAGACATATTTGGAGTTTAAGGATAATCAAATATCATGTGTGTTTCTTGTAGTAGTATTACTCTTGCGATTGATTTTTGACGTTTTGTGCAATTTGTATTTCATTTCATTAGCATGGGAGGATTTGAGAATATGTTAATTGACATGTATTAGGTAAACTATTGCCATGCATATGTGAAGATTTGTGTTCTTTAAAAAAATATGAAGCATGTTTGATATTGTTTCTGAGAGCGCTCATAACACGAAATGACCTGTAACCCGACCCAAAACTCGATGAATTGGATCAATATTTGACCAAAAATCAACCAACCCAACATGACCCGACCTATAATCCGAGGCCCCAACCCGAAATCATCCAACCCGACCCGATTGGCAGGTCTAGCTGAAAATTATCCTGACCCGCCCCTGACTCTGTCCTGACCCTATATGATTCGCCCCTAAAGGGTCAAGATGTATGACTGACCCGACCCGCCCTCGTTTCCTTCTTGACCCTGTCTGACCTTCTAGGGTCGAGCGGGTCAGCGAGCACCTAAACTTTTGAAATTTCTTACAATTTAGCACCTAATTTTTTTTACAAATAAGTCCTTAAATTTTGATGTGGTACCCAAATTTATTTATTTTTAAAATTTAGTACCTAAACTTTTAAGATTTTACTAATAGATCCAATGTGTTGGTATGTGAAATTTCATGTCTAAGGGTCACAGGGTCAAAAACTGACATCACTCTAAGCTCAATCGATCCTATACCCGACCCCTTACAGGGCCAAAAGATGACCCGACTCTAAATTGACTCTGTAGACAAACTGACTCAGTCCGACCTTCAGAATCGGGACGAGTGATCAATAGATTTTTAGGATCACGTTTACACCCTGCTGAGATACATTAATCTACAACATAAATTTATGAGAATTTTGGCTTAGTGTCATCCAATCGATCAATCACCATTGTAGTCCACCAATAATTCTCATTACATTAATTTCTTCCATCAAAGTAAACATAACAAATTAATGATAATGATAATGATATGACGCTCCAAAATTCTCATCTTAATCATAATTGTTATATTCAATCATATAAAATGTGTTGTACGTAGTGGCAAACAAAAAGAAGCTAAACCCTAGATGCCCCCTCCCTCCCCCATCCCCCTCTAATATCAATTATTAATATATTTGCTTATATATTGTTTGCTTATAATGTTTTGGTCATTTTGATGGTTAACGCGAATGACTTGCAGCATATGATGAGGGACTGTTCTACAGATAGTATAGATTTTGTCGACTTCTCTTTAGCGTGTCAAGATTCATTTCGCATCTTGTAGGTATAACAAGATTGTTCATATCATGTAAAACAAAACCATTCAATTGAGGGATCAGTTGTAGTCGACCTACGTTTTTCCTTTTGTTTTATGATATGACCAACATAGGTCTTTAATATTTTGTATGTAACGATTTCCCTTAAATGATATTTTTGGCCAAAAAAACGATAAATGTATATTTTTAATGTACCATGCAACCTGTATTTAACTTTAATTCAAATTAAAACCTCATTTTAAAATTTCTATAAAAGAACCCAAATTTAAAATGAAATTGTCTTTGCTAATTAATTGCAGCTCTCTCCCAATTGGAAAACATAATCATGGTCATAGAAACCTAGGCTTAAGCGAAACTATTAGGGAGAAAACCTAGTTCTCTTCTAATTTGTATTCCTTGTATAGAGTTGAGTCCATGTCATTGTTGTACTTGATCTGTGCTTCTGCTCGTGTACGTTCTGGGTATAAATACCCTTATCATCAATAATACAAACACACAGTTCTCCCAAACCTTACATGGTATCAGAGCAGGTTTACGAACCCTAGTTTTTTTTTCCCGACCTGTTCTTGCTGTGTTCGTCGCCATGGCCGACGACTCCACCGTCTCAACCGGCTCTAATGGCTCTGACTCTGTTCCGCCCTCTGAACCGCAGCTGGTGACGTTCAATCCGGCTGCCTCCCTTCCCCTCAAGCTAACCGCCACCAATTTTCCCAGCTGGAGAGCGCAGTTGTTCTCTCTTCTCCATGGCCTCGATCTTCATGGCTATATCGATGGCACCATCGTCGCTCCTGCCGAGCAAGTCCTTGTCAATAACGTTCAGACTCGGAACCCGGCATACACCCACTGGTTCCGACAAGATAAACTTTTACTCAATGGTATTTTTGCTTCGATCTCTCCTGAAATCTGCCCGTTTATCTCATCTGCCGAGACCTCCAAGGCGGCTTGGGATATTCTCCAGAGCACGTATGCTGGTACCTCTTACTCTCGGATCATGACTCTCCGTGATCGTCTTCATGGTGAAAAGAAGGGAGATCGCGATGTGGCCACCTACATTCAGGCCCTTCGCTCTCGTGCAGCTGAACTTGCCCTCGCCGGTGAAATCGTACGCAATGAGGAACTCGTCACTATCTGTCTTCGTGGTCTTGGAGTTGAATATCAAGAATTTTCTGCCGGCATTAGGGCTCGGGATGTGCCTCCTCGACTTGAAGATCTCCTTGATCGCCTCCAAACCCTCGAGGCTGACCTTCGTGCTCATCGTTCCTCCGTCGACTCCCCAGCCACTGCTTATGCCACACAGCGCGGCCGGGGGCATGGCCGCCGCGGTGGCTCCGCTGGTCGCGGTCGTGGTCGTGGGTCAGGCCCTGGCCTGTTACCAGCCCCAGCTCCGCCTTCTTCCTCCGGATCGTCTTCTCCTTGGGATGCCTCTCCCCAGCGGAACGATGAGGACTCCAATCGTCGCCAGCGGGTCTTTTGTCAATTTTGCGAGAAGCCTGGTCATACTGCGAAAATGTGCTTCCAACTTTTTCCACACAAAAGGCCACCGCAAGC